TATTACACACATCTGGTGTTATCCTTATTTACAGTTAAGAACAGGGATTGGGAGGTTCCCCTAGTTCTCCTCTCCCATCAAATGTCCTGGATGATAGGAAAACATCCACTAATCACTCCTTAACATGGTGACCCCAGGCTGTATCAAGGTGAGCTTTGACAGGTGACTAAACCAGAGAGTTTAGTCATCTGGCAAAATTTGTTCCAAATTTGTGCAAGTATTTTGTATGGATGTATTCAAGGGAAGCCCACTCTGCAGTGAGAATAGCTCTAAACCCACCTTCAGAAGGGCTGTCTGATGGCAGTTCACCTCCTTTTGGAGATGGCTTTGCTGCTATTGCAAAAGAGCACTAAACCTGTATTTAAAAGCAATCCAAAGAGTTGTGAGGCCTGGGGAGAGAAGTTTCACAAAGCAGCAAAGAGGAATTATTCCCTCTTTTTCTCTCCATGGTGCAGCATTTTTCCTGCCATTGTTAGTCAGCTGTTCTTCAGGGGACTACCTCAGGGACATGGTGGATATAGGGCAAAATGACTGTGGAAGACATGGCCAGGAACCAGAGAAACCACCCAGACATGCCCAGGATCCACCTCCCAGAGATCACCCAACTACATCTTTGGCAAAATGATTGGTGAAGTCCATCAGACTGTATCTATGACCCAGTGTGGAATGGGGTACAATTAAGGCTGACTTAAGACTGCCCCAAGTATGGGCTGAAGATCCCATGAAGCTAATGTCAGTAGGATAGAGCAGAAAAAAAGAGGTTGCCACAGGTTAGATGCAAATATGCTCTGAATATTTGCCAGAGGAATCCATGTAATCTCCAGTCCTCTACAGCAGAGTTCCTCAACCGTGGTGACTTGAAGATGTGTGGACTTTAACTCCCAGAATTGGCTGGGGAATTCTGGGAGTTGAAGTCCACACATCTTCAAGTCGCCAAGGTTGAGGAACCTTGCTCTATGGTGTTCCTAAGGGCTGGAATGGTCTGTGTTTCAGTCATTCTCCAGATTACCCTTCACAGGTTACTTTTTAAAAATTGCATTTCAGTTTTGTTTTGTTTTTTGCAATATCCAACACCCTTCCTCATTCTTCTTCTTTTTCAAATGTGACACTAGAAATCAGAAGCCAGGTTTAGCATTCTCATATATATCCCTCTTCATATATTAATTGCATGGGTGGGTACTTAATGCAGTCTTGCAAATGTAGAACGGGGCAGTTCTCCAGGTCCCAGAGGTCTGTGGCATTTCTCATGGCTTTGGCATCTACACGTATGTATCAGTCTCTATGTACAACATCACCATGAAACTGAAATCTAGGTACTCGAGATGCTGAGTGGGAGGAAGACATACCAAGCTAGGACATGGGTCGTTTATACAAACCGAGGTCCTTTGCTCAATTAAAATAAAAAACAATAGTTTTTCCAAGTAGTTAAATATATTTAAGTTACCCCGGATCAATAAAACACCAGCAAACAGACCTTGGCATTGACTGTAGTTGAGTGAGAATTTTAATTTTTCTTGTGAGTCTTGAAAAGTAGGACAGCAGGTATGAATACAAGTTTAAGGAAACTCCCATGGAAGAAGAAACAGCCCTGGAGTCTGCAGGATGTTCGCTGTTTGAAATGATCAGATCAATTAATACTTCCCATTCAAGGCAAGATACCTGACCAGTCATATAACATACACTCACCATTTACTCAAACACGGAGTTTAATGTACCAAGAAAAATAGACTTTGGGGACGGCATTTTTAGGATAGTCTGAAAACCATTGTATAGGCAACCACAGTAGCACTGACTATTGTACTGTTTTGATTGACAAAAGAGTTTAAGTCTACTGATGTGCTGGCTAGATGTGGAAGTCCAGTTTATGGAATTAAATTCAGTTTGAAACAGGATACAAGAGAACTGAAGTTGCATTATGCTGAGAGATTTAAGTCTTTACAAGCTATTATACTGGGTGTCCTCATAAAAATTGTAACCGCCTTCAAAAAGAAGCCACAGCTGGAAGAAAGCCCACATCAATGTGCCAATATGGTTTCCATAACAAGCAGAACTTACATAGGATGATGAAATTGAGGGGGGGGGGAGAAGAAGAAAAGGAAATGGAAATGGAAAAACTCACAGGAATAAAGATAGCGGTGGTTTCAAGTTTGTTCATGCAACATTTGCTTTAACATTTGTCAACAAGTTATAGCCGTGTAAGACACATCCAAATTAAATGGATAATTTAAGCAATGTCAAAGTGTGGGGTAATACTATTTCAAATATTTTACTGAATTTAACAGCCCAATGCTATGGAGATGTTTATGGTTATTGGCTGGGTTTATTTAGAATGTGAAGTCATAATGTTTGTTTCTTGGGGGTTAATGTGATGCATGAACCCAGATGTTGCTGCTTAGTTAGATTTGCAAACCAGGTTAAAAATGTCCTGGCTTAATGTCATGCATGAATACAGCCATTTCTCTTGACAGTTATATCTGTATCCATAGGACTGGGCTGCAATGTGCAAAGTTGAGACTTGAGTTCAATAGGGCTTACTTTGAAATAATCATGCATAAGATCAGAAGAGGAATATATTCCTTTTCAATTACTCAAATGCTACACAGGGAAGAGTTCCTATGTTCTATTATATAAAAAATAGGGTTAAGCTTGTTCTAGCTGCTATTGTATTGAAAATTAAACAATTATTTTAAGATGCAATTCTCAAATTAGTACATCAAGGAATAATTCATATTAGCATAACATTTCTAGGGTAGCACAAATTAAAAATGCTTTATGGATACTGAGCCCTTTTCTCCCATTAATCTCTGATAATGAAATCCTCTTCATACAAGCCTTAGGTTATCCCATGGCTATAGTATAGCCACATATAAGGGCCTCAGTTGCCACTCCCCTAAGGAGGACCAGGTGAATCTGATCTGAAACACTGCTGGGCAATAGGGGGAAAGAAGGATGTGGTTAGAAAAGGCATCATTCAATAGCCTGTCCTCCCTCTTAAGGATCTGCAAATCACCTCCTTTGGAGGATCCATTCTTTTTGCAACCCGTGGTTTCCTGTTTCCTTTTCTCTGTTATGTCTTCCTGACATCCAAGCCACCGAGATGAATGGGATGGGATCTGCAACTTCCTGGGATGGACAGAGGCCTGCAAAGGGAGGAGCCATGAGTTTGTTCTCTTGAAATGTTTAGCTCCCCTCCACTAGAAGATGTGATAATAATTGCATTTCCTGGGCTTTGATATCAGGCCGGCAGGGTTTGCATAAAGTGCCCCAGCTCAGTGAATGAAGCTTTGAGATAAAACTGGATTGAGGAGAGAATTCTCAATGCAAAAAATAATCTGCATGATCTGCTTGTGTGAAAGTTGCCAAAGAAAACACGTAGATCATACAGGCAAACCTTTTAGCCTAAGTTCTTGAAAGATGGGGAAAGAAGGATGAAATCCATATTGGAAAAATAATAAAGTTAGCCAGCTTATTACTTTTTTTTATAGAATGTATAGGCTACCCCAGTCTCCCATGACTCCATGAGTTAGCACCTTCAAGACTAGTTTGTTGTGATCTATTAAATATAATATTTAAGCACAATGAGTACACCAACACTGGAAACATTCACTAGCTGTAGCATTTTACTTGCCAGCTCATTGTCTTTTGGCAGAAATGGGTAGAATGGGAAAACCTAATGCAGTTTATAATGATCAAAGTACAATAGTGTCCTAGAGAATACACCCCAACCCCTCCTCCCTAAGGAACACTCATAAATTGTCCAACAATTTAATCTTAGTAACTTTGGCAAGCATCAGAACCTGGCTGTATTTCAACTCTTGTTTAATTTTCCAAAATGGTCTATTTAAGAGGCAGGTGAATCCCAGCTGTTTTCAGGAACGCTAAATCTCGCTTTGGGGTTACTTTTAATGAAAAAGCTGAATATTTGTATAGGTTAAAAAAAAGAGCTTTTCTACCAGTTTAAAATTTGTACATATTAATAGTACTTATATTCCTATAAAAACATACGGTACATAAATCATGTATCAAATGCATATTTATTGAAGTATACCAATTTATCTAGTTCTGGAGAGGGGAAAAAAAGACCTTTTGAGAGCAAAGAATTGCACATAACTCTTTGTATAAATTACAGACCAGTCAGAGCTATGTTTGAGTAATAAATCAGTGAATCTCCCCAACTGAAGGTAAAATAGTGCATCAGTGAAATAATAGCTAAGAGTAATTTTTGTTTTGCAGCAGGCTGAAAATGCAATCAATAAAATACTCAGGATTTGCATTCATGTAGTTATCAGCCAACTGGAGAAATTTACATTTCAGTTTTCATAAAAGCTTAACATGCCAACCTTTTATACCAAGTCTTCCAACTGCAGCCTAGTAGCATTTATTTGCAGTAAAGGGGCATGTATTTTAAGCCTTATCTGCTATATCATCACATATCATAACTACTCTGCCATTTTGAGAAGAAAAGAATGGCAGAGTTCAAACACTGTGCTAAGTCAGGGTTTATTTTAGCATGATGTATTGAATAAGCCACTAATACAATACGTGCAATACAATGGGGCCATTATGTCTTTATACAGTGTGTGAACCAGCTTACAAGGTACTACTTGCTCACTTACAAGAATTCACCACCACAGATCTCAAGTCCAAGTTAGCCTGACTTTTAGAATTTCATCAAAGTGATGAACTCCCATACTGTACCCTGGAATCCAAAAATTTTCTCTGAAGTTATCTTAAGCTTCAAGCTTCCTTCTCACAGTTCAAACCAAGAATGCAATAAGCTTTAATTAGAAGCTTTGTAGCCAGCATGTGTCATCACCCCAAAGTTCCTTGCTACCTGTATATTCATAACATCTGATACTCTTTCCAGTCTTCCCTAATTAAAGTAAGGTGACCAGATACGGCATATTTAAAAGATTTTATTAAACTTGCCAAACAGTTCATATGTTCAATATAATAAAACCAGTGTGTATAACGCATGTCAGAATAGACATTGTGCAGCACTTGGGGAAAAATTAAAATCCCGTACAGTGTACAGTTAAGCGCCACACCCAAGAATTTACAGACACAGTAATTTACTGCAATTAGTCACTTGAAAAATAGTTTCTGAAAGAAACATGCCTCGTACTCCACTTGCAGAGAGGGGAAGTTGCCAGAGTACTTTAGTGTAAACTCTGAAATAAGTCAGTCTTTCAAGGTGATTTTTCTGTAACAAGAGCACCCACTCTCATTAAAGTCCCTCAAGTCCATCAGGTTTAGAAGAAAGCAACCACTGCTAATGTCTCTGGCAAGTATGTAGTCTTGAAGAGTTGCTGATGGTGTGATCTCTTTGCAGTCGACAGGTCAATCCATCTCCACAGTAACATCGCTGGAAGATTTCCAAACCATGAGAGCCTTTTTTGTGGTGCTTTGTGCACACCTGACCTTCCTTAAGGACAGGTTTGCAAATCTTGGACCAGAAGTGACGGGCACAACACAGTCCTTCAGCGCAGTCTGAAGAGCGGAGGCATACAGCTCCTTCTTGGCCTTATGAAAGAGGGAGATAGTTGAGAATACAGCAGATTTGTTCACACCCTCATTCCTTACTGATGTAACTGAAGAACCTTTCCTAGCCTGGCGCTCTTCCCATCCATTTTCCAGCAGCCTGGCCAATCCAAGGAAGGACAAACAGGAGTTGTGATCTGACACATTCACGAAGCACAAAGCTAGAGAAGGCTGAGCTAATCCAACAGCCTTCGGAAAATCTGATTTGCTATTATCATCAGTACCTACATGCAGCCACAGGGGTGAAATAATTAGGACGCATGCTCCAAAATCCTACACAATGCCCAGGTTATCAAAATATATGCCACATGGGCTCTGTGTCAGGTAATTAAGTTCTCCTAGCAGACAAGAGTAGGCCCTGCAAGCTATTTAAGTGAACAAGCAAGATTTTATTAAAGGCTACTCTCCAGCTAAACAGTATTATGGAAAGTGATCTATTCATATGCATGCTATATTGTATGACAGCTTCACTAGAAAAGCACCCACATAAAACTAGGGAAACCAAATGCTGACAACATTGGCAGACATGGAAATCAATCTAGGTACTGAAGCTAATATTATTGTAGGAGTTCAAAGAGTAAATGTGTCCAAGAGCACCTAAAAAGGATGTAGCCCTTAAAAATCTTTCTTATAGCAACTGAGCCTGTATCACTTTCCAGAAGGTATTCACCGTTCTCTTTAATGGCTTTCTCTTATGTACTTCAAATTTACTTGTATCAGCCAAAATCGAGGACACGTTCTTTCAGCTTTGAATACTTTTTAGTGAGAAAACTTTCTGTTCTCCTTTCCTTGATTTACTCGTTGCATGCTGTTGGCCTTACCTTTTAGATGGTATAACTGGGATGAAGTTGTGGTCCTTTTCAGATGGGAGTCCAAAGTACCACGGTCAAAATTTTCTATGATGATCTCTTCAATCTTTTCAGGACGAAAATAATCTACTTCCATACACATACCTGATAAAGGACAAAAACATGAACACCTGTCAACTTCATGAGGACAGGAATTCTTGGTCATGTTCTGAAGATCGGCTCACTACTCAGATGCTAGAGAAGGGCAGATGATCCATCTAGGCAGAACCTATCTATGGACCACAGAAAAGCAGATGATTACCTTTCATTCTGAATCCCAAACCTTGTCAACATCTTGGTGCTATTTTACACAGATCTCCTTTTGGCCCTTTTTTAAATTTTGTCTGTTAACATAGGAATCTCCCTTAGTGCTGGAGCTTAAATGAGTTTCAGTAAAGAGCACATCCAAGCGCTAATGTTCTCTATTCTCTAGATCCTTGGAAAGCTTGATCTGAGATAATACTAGGATAGCTTTAGAAAAAGGTTATAGCTTAATACTATAAATAAATAAAAGTGTTGTGTGGAAAATACCCTGGTGGTGTCCTTAGTCTATTACGTTTAAACAGCCTGTGATGATAAAGATACTATTTAAGGTGTTCAATAGGTACTTGGCTTATACAGAGAAGATAGACCATTATTAGACTGTATGCAAGGAAATTATTTTATAATGAATGTTTGCTTCTTTATAGCTCCAGAACTTCTTAAACCAGCCAAAATAGCATGTGTCTCATTCCTGACTTTTGCACAATGCGTTCTACAGCATTGCAGAACTTCGGGGAAATAACTGAGTATACACCTTATATAAACAGCACAATGCTGTGCAAGTTTACTTACAAATAGATTTCCCTTATTCCAAAGTAAGGATGTTTAGAATTTACAGCCTAACCCTTTTTGGTTTTTGCCAACATCCCATGTCCTTAAAAACAACAAATACACAGAACTCTCCTAGAACAGATGTAACCTTTTGGGTGAGTGAGTTGGGTGGCCATATAAATTGCTCATATTATACACACACACACACACACACACAACAATCAATCAATCATTACTGTAAACACCATGGAAGCACCTAACCCACTATGGGTGTCCTCAAAAATTCCAAGTCCTGCTAGGGTAGAATCTGGATGGAAAATCACCAGGACTGCAGTCTAGGCTGGGAATCCCAGAAAAATTGGGGCAAGCCCCTTCCATCAGGATACCAAGAAAACTACGTGGAGGTGTCCACGTAGTCCTCGAGAGATGAGCAAGACTTGAGGGACGCGATCTCCACACCCCTCCAGAAACCACGAGCACTTTCTCCAAAACAGAACAAAAACAATCCTTCGGGTCGCAGGGAGATTCCAGGGTGACGTGGGGGAGGTTCTTGCTCGGACTCTAAACTTTCTGGGCTCCGCTTGCCCCCTCCCCACTAAGCAGCGCGCACCTCCCCCGAGCCAGACGCACCGTTGTTGCAAAAGGTGCCCGAGCAGCACATGGCGTCTCGGAAGCAGCGCTTGCGGCGTCTGCGGCAGGTCAGGCAGACCAGTCCTCCTCCTCCTCCTCCGGAGACGCCCCCGCGGGCAGGGGTGGAGCAAAACTCTTCGGCGTTGCAGTCCTCGTCGTCGCTGCAGAAGACAAGCTGCGAGAGGGCAGAAGCGGAGGGGCAGGTGAGACGCAAGCGAGGGCGCCCCCAAGCCCGACCCCGGCCAGCCCGGGGCCGACCTACCTGCTGTGGCTCGCCGGCGTGGCTTTTATTGCTTCCGTCGTGCAGCGCCGGGGTCCTGGCTGCCTGCACGGATCCGCCTGGGGGCGGGGTTTTTTTTGGGTTTTAGGGTAGCCATATCGCGGTTTATGAAAAAATTATTACGGGCCCCAC